AATGTAAGTAATGAGGACATAACCTTGGATCTTGTTACCCTAAATTGTGATAAATATTAACATCAATATTCAAGTTTGGTTATTGAAAAGATAAATATAAATATAAATAGGTAAATAATTAAAAATCATATATGTAGATACCTCTCCATCCATTAGAATAAGTTGAATGTAGAAAATTTTGTCTTTGTTATAGTAACTTTCCGGTGTCCATAATCTGAAACACGAAGCTTCATAGTGAACATGTCCTTCAAGACATGAAGATCACGTATGAGAGTAAAATCAGCAATAGTCATGAATCTGTAAATTATGGTGAAATATTAACATGGTTAAATATGGGTAAAACAGTAAATTAGGATGAACGTTTGTACATGAATAGATAAGCATAAATGTATATACAATACAATATTATTGAGGATGAAATATTGGCTTAATTCATATTAGTTGTATATGCAAAAATTCAAAAATAGAAATTTGGTTGTTGGTGGAACTTATTTGATTGAATATTTCTATGAAAACAATCTTTATTGACGATTTTCAATTGTTATGAAACAGGAAAAACATGGATTTGTAGTACCTTGTAGTATGACATTCGAGGAGGATAGAAAGAAAGCAGAGAGAAAAAGCAAAGGTATTGAAATCGTTATGGGTGTTGTACTTTATAGAACATTGGTGATATGGAAGTTAATATTGATATGGAAGGTATTCAATACATATTGAAATTAGCTTATCATTACCGTATTTTAGACTTTTGAATGATAAATTATGTTGATCTGGTCAATGATGTTTGTTAATTTTGGTATATCTTTAGTTTCTTTGAAATTTTGCTAATTTTCAGGAATTTCAGTGATTTGATATTCATACACATGGTAAATAAGCAGGAAAATATGTTTCTAAAAATATGTTTCTAAACTTATGAAGTTTTTTTTTCATACGACAATTTTTTTTTAAAAACTGATAAATTCGTGAGAAAAATTAAAGCATGAATATTTTAATACATATGCGGGTCTAATATATCTCTCGTGACGATGAAAAATCTCAAAATCTACTAACATTAATATTTCTGCAATTTCTTGAAATGTAAACATAATAAGTGTAACAAAATTTGGTAAATATCCCTTAATCGGGCGCGGGATAGGTGCGGTGGGTAATATTGACATATTCTGACATATTTTGTTGATATATAAGAATTTATGACTATTTATCAATATGAGTTGTAAAATAAAATTCAAATTGGAGAAGCAAAACAATGGCACGTGGCGTACTATTGATTTAATAGTTTGACACATGACATAATGAGATTAACCATATTCATTTATTAGATATATATATACTAGGCGAATGTCCGCGCGTTGCGCAGAAGCATCTATATAACTGAAATTTTTACAAATATATGTTTTTTTAAATATAACAATAATGTTGTTAAATTTGATATAATAATTCGTATACTAAGTTGATATAATATATTGATTATTTTGAATTATATGATAATATATACATCTATTAAAACTGCATAATGTCAATCTTTTGAATGACCTCTACTCGCGGGTTACTCATGAATAAAATTAAATGTAATATATGGTTTAATGTTATTTATAGTTGTTGTTATTGTTAAATAATTTTTTAAAATTTATTTGTTTAACGTTTTAATTTCTATCATTGTAATTATTTAAAACATCAAACAATTTTTTATTTTATTTTAAAGGTAACAATATACTCATTTATATAGAGTTATTTTTAACTATTGTTATTGTAAGTTATTTTAAGATACTTATTTGAAAACTTATAATGATTATAAAATATCTTTAGGAAATATTTTTGTTAAATTGATATTACAATTTAGTTTTGCGTTTAGCACTACAATTTATCATTTTTAACTATTCACAAAATATTCTTTGGGTTTCTTAAGTGGAACTGAAATTTATATTGAAATTGACCCTATAATGTATTATTTAAATTAACAATTTAAATATTTTATCCAAACTGTTCAAAAGTTGTAGCTTTAAACTGATAATGGTTTACATACAACAACATATTAAATCTAATAAATTAAGTATAATATGTTAAAAGTAAAAGACATAACTTTATAAGTAGAAGTAAAAATATTATTTTAATATTGAAATTTAGTTTATTTTTTTGGGAAAGAGGCCAAAGCCCCGACAAAATGAAATTTAGTTTATTTATGATTACATTTTAGGTTTGATATTTATTTAACCTTATTAACCAACTTATAATCATTATTAGAAAGACACTAAAATTTATCACTTTTAATTATTTACAAAATATTCTTTAGGTTGTTTAAGTTGAACTAAAATTTATATTTAAGTTGATCATATAAGGTTACATTTAAATTAACAATTTAAGTATTTTATACAAATTGTTCAAAATTTGTTGCCTTAAAATGATAATGGTTTACATATAACAACATATTAGACCTAATAAATTAAGTATAATATGTTAAAAGTTAAAAACATAACTTTATAAGTAGAAGAAAATATATTATTTTAATATTGAAATTTAGTTTATATATGATTACACTTTAGGATTTATATTTATTTAACCTTATTAACCAACTTATAATCATTATTAGAAAGAAATTGAAAAGTCATGGGAGTTTCAAATGAATGTGGTGAAAGGAAAAATGAATGGGAGTTTCAAATGAATGTGGTGAAAGGAAAAATGTTTCTTTTATAAGTATACTAGACGAATGTCCGCGCATTGCGCACAAACACATATATGGTTGAAATCTTTACAAATATATGTTTTTTTAAAATATAACAATAACGTTGTTAAATTTGATATAATAATTCGTATACTAAACTAATATGATATATTGATTATTTTGAATTATATGATAATATATACATTTATTATAACTGCATAATCTCAACCGTTTGAATGAATTCTACATGCGAGTTACTGATGAATAAAATTAAATATAATATATGGCTTAATGTTATTTATAGTTGTTGTCATTGTTAATTTATTTTTTAAAATTTATTTGCATCACATTCACTAGTACAAAAATGACCTACGGTCACACCTTCCGAAAAACGGCCTATGACACTTTTTATTAAAAGTGTGGCCAAAGGTCACTAAAAAAATTTAGAGCTGAGACTGTTTTTGGATACATTTAAATTAGTTTGTGTGGCAATTATATAGATAATCAAAACTTTAACCACACTTAATTATACCAAAACTGACAAATATTAGTCACACTCGAACACTGAGGCCATAGGTCACAATCAGCCACATGTATCGATTATCATTGCCATACCTTTTTTTATAAGAGACAATAGATAAATGTATTGTGACATGAGGCAATTGTATGTGTGTTTATAACCTGGTGACTTTTTAGACACATAACAGACAAAGTAGCTAAAAGGTGATGCATATGGTCACACTAAATATTTGTGTCCATAGGGCAGTTCTGTACTAAAAATAGTTGTACTTAGTAAACGCAAGACAACAAGTTAGTACTGGTTGTTTATGGTCATGTATCTTTTATTAGGTGTGTCAAAATATGATGAATTAGCTTTGAGAAGAAACAAATATTGTGAGTGTAGGTAGCATTTAGTTATGATTACAGTTATTATATGTGTCTATATGTAAATATAGTTATAAAAGAACAATAATGTCTTATCGGTATAATTATGGGTCGTTTATTGGATATGTTACTATATTTATGGTCATTCTTTAATAATAAAGAAGAATACAACTACAAATGATAAGCTCGTTACTTTTCCTATTAATAATCACAAGTGTTTACAAGTTAAAATACATTAATGAAACAAACAAAACTACAACCTTTGTCTCATTGACATCATTTCAATTTTTTAATTCTCTTAAACAAAAAAGAATGTACATTTTCCTATTAGGTTTGAAAGCCAAAACATTTATTGGAACGTAATGCCCTTGAATGCATCTGTGGTCCTCTTGTAGAGCCTAGGACACAAGTATAAAAGTATCTGTTATGGACCATAAGCATATGTATTTTTTCAAGCATTATAACAAGCACACACACTTACCCTTCTTTTATTTTTTTAGTGAATTCAAGTGTCTGTTTATAAAATAACACAATCAATTTCTTAAATAATTATAAAAAATATAAACAACAATTAAAATCCAAATTGAACATAAATCAAAATTAAACACAATCTAAACCAAACCTAAATGCCTTCTTTTCTCCCATGTCTTTGAGCAAACGGGATATTACAGATGGAGGCGAAAGGGGTAGGATAGAGAAGAAGGGGGTGTCGATGAAAGGAAATTAAAAAAGAAGGCTCCCGTGTTTTACATTTTATAGCATACTTGTATTTTGGAAGGAGATGAACAATGCCTTGTTCGATGAATGATGCATTGTAGTGGACTACCTTGTATGGAGATGATTGTCGACTTTGGGAAGGAGATGAATGGTGTGTTGTGTAGGGATAGGAACACCTAATGTTGATTTGAAATTACCGAGAAGTTGAATGAGATCAAATGTAATTTTGTAGAGTAAAAAGCAAGGTTGTAAAAAACGCTAGACGTTAGCTAGGCGTTGGACCAGGGTCTAGGGATTAATCGGCTAGGCGGGGATTAATCGGGGACCATTAATTATTAAAAAAATTATTAAAAAATTAATAAATATAACATTAATCCTAATAATATAACATTAAATATAACATTAATAAATATAACATTATATCAATTAAAAAAAATAATAAATATAACATTATAACATCAAGCTACGATTACAAAAAAACCCCTTTGATCCTTAATACATCACAAACTCATCTACATCACAAATTATCTTCTCGTTGTCGCTTTCATGCATGTAAACAAGCATGTATGTTTTCGAGTATTTTGTAAATTTAAACGGAGCATTATTGAAACCAGGGTAGTTGTTGCAAGGCATGAAAGGAGAGGATAAATTTGTGCTTGGAAACACAGAAACTCAAGTGAATACTCTTTCATCATCAAACTTGAAAATACATGTAGGAAATGATTAAACATATTAGAACTCACCATTTATCTGAAAGAGTTGGCCTGATAAATGCATAGTAGTGTCCACCATGCACACCACCATTATGAACCAATACACTGCCAAGATACACAGTGAAAAGGTAAGTCCTAACTTTGCAAATACCTAATATTTGACAGCCACATTTGATACCTATGCAGGTTATAAAGATTCCGGACACACTTATCAGCATCAGGAGATAGATATTTTCCATTTATCTACACAATGAATCAGAACAATAAGCAGGGACGTTTAATAATTCTTCAAACAGTTATGAGTTGCAATTTTTCATGCACAATTAATACCATAGTATGATTATTTTCTTGTCGATCTGAAGTCCACATTGATGCATTCGATGTAATTCATATTGTGTCCTTCAAATAACTTTTGTATTGTCAATTGATCGAACACTTGGTGGGCAGATGGTTTAATACACAAAATAATTAAAGATTTCATCTAGATACAATCTGATTTCATACACAATTTGTTTGTCAGCTGATTTCATACATCAGCTCCAACTGATTTCAGAAAAATAAATTACAAAAAAACAATTGCTTACCTGATGTTGCAGATGTCGAAGTCGCTTCTTCTTCGTTTTCATTCCAACCAACATCACCATCACTTATGCCCTACCTGTTACAACCGAGACACAAATCCAAAACCTCGAACCAGAAAAAGATGAAGAAAGAACAAACGATTTTGGAAAGCAAATTAACAACCCCTGCTTTCTCCCTCGCTACCTTTCCCTTCGCAGACCTCTCCATCTGATTCAATCAATGGTGCCTGACGCGAGCTTCGAAGTTGAGAATGCGAAGGATAAGTTCTTCTAAGCTCGGGCTTCTCTAACTCGAGATTATGATGGCGAAGTTCTAAGTTGAGCAGGTTCATACCGGAGCAAAAGGCGTGATCAAAAGAAGAGGATGTCGGCAGTTCAATTTCTCAGTCCGTTCATGGTTGAGAGTTGAGACGAGAGAGAATATTTTTTCCCAATACGTTCGAATGAGAAAATTTGGAACCAGCCCTAGAAAAGTTTTCAATTTGACATTTTTGCCCCTAATTTTTTTTGAATTTTCGTTGACCGCTTTTGACATTGGAAAATATGTAGTTTGAGTAGAGGGAATCGAATTTTTAGTTTTTCGGACGGAAATTTAAATAAAAACTAATTAAATTTAGCGGGAAACTAAGATTAATTAAGAAAATATTTTAGGGGGAAACGAAAATTTCATACACGATAAATATACATTTTATTTTTAAATTTTGATTTATCAAATTAGGAGGTATAGTGTGATGACCATCATGTGGTTTCAGTAGGGATGGCAAGTCGGATGATTGTTTGTGTTTTTTACACGACATCGAACACACTATTTTTATTCAACCAAGACACAACACGACAAGATAGCATGTTATTTCAGTAACATGAGCACGACTCAATAAGATCACAACAAACACGAATAACATGATATCACTACTTTTAAACACGACAAACAAAACACATAAAACAATATATAATGGTACTAAATATACACGACTTATAAACATGAACACGTCGCTGACACGACGTTTCATGCTATTATCGTTTTAATATCATGTCAAAAAAGGGATTTGTTTTATATGATCATACAAGTGTATGATTTGTGGGATTGTTCAATGTGACCACAGAAGATGACAAGAAAAGGTAATCATAAAAGGAATCTCATGGTTGGAGTGTGTTAGGGGTGAGGGTCAGTTGAGTTTTGGTAGGTCAAGTGGGGAGTAGGGACCACTTATAACGTTGTTTTAACAAAAAGTAGTAAAAAAAAAATGTTAAAAGAAGATAAATAATGGTGTTTTTAAATTTTCATGCTCAAAGTTAATGTAACTTGTATAATTAATCATGTATATGTTTACATCTCATGCTTATTGCTTATGCTTAGGGCTTATGATTTATGGTGTATGGCTTAGGGAATAAGGCTTATGATTGGGAATTAAGGTTTACAACTTATGGTTTATGAATTATGACTTATGACTCGTGACTTAGGGCTTAGGGATTATGACTTAAGGCCTAAGGCTTATGGATTAGGGTATATTACTTAGGGCTTAAGGGTTAGCACTTAGGAATTATGACTTATGGCTTATAAATTATGGTTAACGGCTTGTGGCTTATGGATTTGGCTTATGACTTATGACTTATGGCTTGGGGCTTAAGGCGCACAATGTATGACTTTGGGCTTGTGCCTTTTGGCTTATGGATTAGGGCTTATGGATTGAGGTTGTATGATGGGTTTATGGTTTAATGAATAGATGTCAAGGTTTAGGGCTTATGTTTTATAACTTATACCTTAGGGCTTGTGGCTTGTGGTTATGGTTATAGGTAATGGCTTAGGAAATAAGGATTAGGGCTTAGGGGTTATGACTTATGTTTATGGCCTAAGAATTAAGGCTTACAAATTAGGCTCATGGCTCATTGCTTATTGCTTAGAGCTTCGAGTTTATTGCCATGGGCTTGTTGCTTATGGATTATGGGTTATGACTTGTGGCTTATAACTCATGGCTTATGGATTAAGGATTATGACGTATAACTTATGGCTTATAACTCAAGGCTTAAACCACAAATCTTAAGCCTTCAATTATAAGGCCTACGCCCTAAACCCTACGCCATAAGCCATGTATGTGTATGTATGTCCTAAGCCTTAAGTCTTAAGACCTAAGACATAAACCTTAAGCACTAAAACCTAAGCCCCATTCCATAAGCCTTAAGCCTAAGCCATAAACCATAAACAATAAGCCACAGACCATAAGCAATAAGTATTAAGCCCTAATCTCTAATTCGTTATCTCTAAACCATAAGTTCTACTCCATAAGCCCTAATCTGTAAGTCATAATCCTTAAGCTATAAGTCGTTAGCCATAAGCCATAAGCATGTACCAAGCACTAAGCCCTATGTCTTATGGTGGGTTGGGTGGGTGTTAGAGATTATAGGATTAAGGCGTACAACTTATGTTTTAGGGCTTAAGGATTATAACTTATGGCTTAAGACTTATGGATTTTGGCTTATGGCTTATGGTTGATGAGACATAAGCTATAAGATTAAAGCACTAAACCTTAGTCTTAATCTTTAAACTATAAACAATAATCCATAAACAATAATCCTGATAGATTAGGGTGTATAAATTAAGTTTCACTCTTGTCTCTTAAGGGTTATTGTGTATGGTTTATGGCTTGTGTCTTATAGATTAAGGATTGTGGCTTATATATGACTTATAACTTAATTTTTATGGCTTATGGCTTATAATGGTTTATGTTTCGAGACTTATGACTTAAGGCTTAAGACTTATAACATATAGCTTGTGGTGTATGATGTTTGGCTTATGGCATTATGGCTTATGACTTATGACTTATGACTTAGGGCTTATGGATTATGGATTATGGATTAGGTCTCATGTCTTATAGGTTTAGGCTTAAGGCACATTCCTACATCCCCACCTCACACACACCCACCAATTCACCTAACTCTACCCCTACCTACACCAATACTACCACCTCTCCCTATATTCACACCCACACCCCACCCTCACCTTATATAACCTACACCGCCCACCCACACATACACCTACTTTACACACATCCGACCCATACCATAAAACTCACATGTATATACTCATCCACCAACCTCTACCATCCCATACCCATACCCATATCCGACCCTACCCACCTACTTTATGTCAACACAGATACCCCACACCACCTCACCCGTGTATCGTCCACTTAAGTATTTGCTTTAGAGTTATTCCTAGTTTACCATGATTAATAAAATTTTAAAATATTTAAAAATATAAAAGAAATATTAATTACAAGAGAAGATAATAATAATAACAAATATTATAAAATAAATAACACAGTTTAAAAAAATGTTTATTAAAAAAAATATTAATTTAATTTTTTTATTAATTTCAATTCTTCCCACCCATAGATATCCAAAAAATTTAAACTTCCCGCACCACAAAATTGAATTTTTTTAAATTTCCCACACCTCAAAATTTCTGATGACTTAAAATTTGCCCTTCTACACTTTTTCTTCGGTGCTTGCAAACTAGGGTTTTAATTTTATTGGTTAAAGAGGCACCGACATAGACATTCATGTACTACCCCTCTCCTCCATTCCCTGATTCCCTCTCAATGCTATGAATCTTTCAAGTTTCAAGTCCTGCGATACCCCCAAAATCCGATTGCGACACCTCTGTTAACCGGTAATCCCATCCCTGACGGTGTACGGTTCCACGGTTTACGATCTTAGGATCCACAGTAGCTCCTCGTGTGTTTACCTTTTTTCTCAAGCCTTAACCGGTAACATTTTTATTTTGACTAAGCGCACCTTCAATCATTATCTCATTACCTCATTTCCTTCGTCCTTCATAAATCGAGAAACTGGAATCGATTCTAGCAGATCAACGAAGGACGTCACACCCCAATATGGTTTCTGGCGACCCTCCTGGTAGGCTTTCAATCGAAACAGATGAAGATGACGATGATGATTTAGTTGGTAGTAGCCCAATTCAACAACCACGATTAACAAGGATTCCATGACTTTATAGAAACAATATGGTACGATTCCTAGGACCATATATGACCCATCGTTGGAATCATACAGTGAGCCGTCTGCTCACCATCTCTTCGATCAGATAAGATTTCCCCCCTTTTCTCACATTTCCAACACAAATTTTACATCTCTTATGTTCTGCACAATTTTTACTTCCTATCAGTTGCCAAAATTCAAAAAATGGAGTCTTTGAAGTTGGTTATAGATGAAGCTGCTCAAATGAAAGAGTCTGAGGCCATCATTCCCCTTCAAGTTCCCGGAATGGCGCTTCTTATTCTCATTGGATATGAATGCCAATTACTTGCAACAGTTAAAAGTGTAGTAAGCCTATATTAGTTTTTGTATTTTCAAAATTTTGGCCTTTGCTCATATTTTACTTTGAGCCATACTTACATTCAGTGGACAGGTTTCTAGTAAATGTGGCTATGGAAGAACCTTATTTAAAAGATAGAGTTATTTGGGTAATTCTAAACATCTATTGAATGTTCAATACAAAATGCATCTACGAATAAGTTCTTTCTCGAATTTGAAATTTATTAGAATCAAATCCTGGATGTAGAAAATGTGACAGGTAAAAGCTAGTGTAGGAAATATCTTCCTGGGCTAATGTTTGGTTCATATTCATTTATAAATACTTTTTGGTGGAAGGGAATAAGATAATGATGCTGGCAAAAAAAGAAGCATGGTTTAGGTGTCTACTGTGATTAAAATAGTGGACAAACTTTATAAAGGTATATTGTTGGTTATATCTTATTCATGTACAACTGTTTTTTTGACTTTCTGATTTTTGTTGTTGTTGGTTAGTTAATGTTTTGTGGGTCTCAAGTTTATCTAATCTTTTTCTTTTAATGTTTGTAACTATATTCTCAATGATCCTTAAATACATCTTCTTTCACGTTTATAGCATGACACCAGTCCAATGAAAGGTTAGTGTTGGTGTCTTATCTATCTATATTGTAAACGTTATTTCATTTGAAGAGAATCTTCGTTACAAGCATGTGAAACTTCATGGATTTTCAGTAACTGTAAAAGTCAATCGACGGACTTCAGAAAGGAGAAGATATCACAATCTTATCTGATGTATGTTCTTGTAGCCATTTGTCTGTTGGATTCATTTCTAGTCCTTAAAGGTTTGTTTATTTTGTTAACTTGTTTGTGCATTACACATTTTTTTTTTCATAAACTACTCTACTAAGTTTTTTATTTAGTCAGTTTTGTTTCAATGTTGTTGGTATAGGTACCAAATATGAAATCACCTCAAGCCAATGAACTCCAAAACTTAAACAAGTGCAAAGCAAATTTTATATCTAGCGATAGCTTTCTCAAGAAGACAAGTAGCAATACCAACAAGATGATAGTGTAGTTATATCTAGTTTTTGGTTTATGATATTTTATTTCTCTTTATACCATATTTTTAGACTTGTTATTAGTACAAGGTTTTTTTTAATCATGGATTCATGTATGGATTTTTATTTCAATTATTACTAATATCACTATCAAATTATGAATTTTTTTTTTGTTTCATATTGTTGGGTTTGGTTATTTTAATTTAAATTATTTTGATGTGTCTACAATATAGAAAACGTAACAATAAATATTAAATTAAAGTTGCTTTAATATAAATTTAGCCATGTTTTATAGGTTTTCAATGTCTCTAAAATTATATAATGGTTACTTTACATCACTTTTTAAAGTGCGGCTAAATGGTTAACAATAGCCATAATATACAAGAGTTATGAGTCTAAAGTTGTTATAAAATGATGTTTATTCTAAAGTTTTTGTGACTAAGTTAAACAATAACAACATGAAAAACAATTTATGTGGCAGATAAATACCATAATTGATTGTTGTTGTGACTAAATACTACCAAATCGTCACTTACCTCATTAATTATATGTGTCCATTTATCGAACATTGACATGTTCACCGTAATTATATGTGTTTAAAATATATCCAATAGTGTTAATACGATACCGAATAGTCATTAATTTTACCAAAATGTGTGTCTTTATAATACTTATGATTGTATTTCACTTAATTGTGTGTTTCTATACGATATGCTATAGTCACAAAAATTGGTTGTTTTTTGTGACTAATTATTAGCAATTTGCCACTTATGAAATTAGTTACATGTGGCCATTTAGCAAATATGGTCATGCTCACCGTAATTACTTGTTTACAAAAGATACACAATAGTGTTAATAAAATTTAAACTGTGTGACAATATAAAACAAAACAACTACACTAAAACATCATGAATGTCGCAAATTGGTGATATACAGTCACCATAGTTACTAAATAAATGTGTCTACTGACGGTTTAACGCTACAATATTGGATATTTAAGGAACAAAATTCTATACACATTTGTCACACTTTTATAATACGGCCACATGTTCTCATATCATACAGACACTACATTTTAAAGTGACCATAAGACCCATACGATGGCGTCACCTTCCGTCACACTTTCAGTGAAAAAAATAAAATGTCACTATACGCATATGGTCACACTTTTTTGGTGTGACTGTAAGTCATTTTTCTTGTAGTGATTTTAATTTCTATCATTATATAAATTTAAAACATCAAACATTGTCTTTTGATTTTAAAGGTAAGAATATAATCATTTATATCGAGTTATTTTGAACTATTGTTATTGTACGTTGTTTTTAACCTACTTATTTGAAAATTTTTAACGATTATAAATTTTTTTTAGGAAATATTTTAGTTAAATTGAGACTATAATTTAGTTTTTGCATTTAGCATTACAATTTATCACTTTAACTATTCAAAAAAATATTCTTTGAGTTTTTTAAGTGGAACTGAAATTTATGTTTAAGTTAACCATGTAATGTTATATTTAAATTAACAATTTAAATATTTTGTTCAAACTGTTCAAAAGTTGTAGCTTTAAACTGATAATGGCTTACATACAACAACATATTAAATCTAATAAATTAAGTAAAATATGTTAAAAGTTTAAGATATAATTTTATAAGTAGAAGTAAAGATATTATTTTAATATTGAAATTTAGTTTGTTTATGATTACACTTTAGGTTTGATGTTTATTTAACCTTATTAATCATCTTATAATCATTATTAGAAAGACACTACAATTTATCACTTTTAACTATTTACAAAATATTCTTTGAGTTGTTTAGTTAAACTAAAATTTATATTTAAGTTGATCCTATAATGTTATATTTAAATTTATAATTTAAGTATTTTATACGAATTGTTCAAAAGTTGTAGCTTTGAAATGATAATGGTTTACATCCAACAATATATTAAAACTAATAAATTAAGTATAATATGTTAAAAGTTAAAAAAAACATAACCTTATAAGTAGAAGTAAAGATATTCTTTTAATATTGATATTTAGTTTATATATATAATCATTATTAGAAAGAAATTGAAAAGTCATGGGAATTTCAAATAAATGTGGTGGAAGGAAAAATGTATGGGAGTTTCAAATGAATGTGGTGAAAGGAAAAATGCTTCCTTTATAAGTATATATAGATATAGATATAGATATAGATAGATAGATAGATAGATGGATAGATAGATATACACACACACACACACTAGTCGTTTATCTGCGCCAAGCGATGGGTGTGAATCATTTTTCTAGAAATTAGTTTGTAGAGGCGATTCAACGAATAGTTTTATTTCGTGGATACTTTCTTTTTTTCAATTAATTTTCTTTCGAATGCTTGAGACCTTTCTTTCGAAACCACGTATTATGCGGTGCGGTTTGAACGGTTTGATGAACACCCGTAGTTTAGCCCCTATTGTTAAAGCTTTTATTAATTTTGTTTGAGGATAAAATGCTCATATTTCCAAATATAACATCTTAATAGATAGATTTATCAATCGAAGGACCAACCATGCATAAAAGTAAAACCACAAGCACCGTCTATGTCGTGATATGTCATGATGTTGAAAGATGTATTAAAACTAAAAATTTGACGAAACCATAGGAGTCGATGATCAACCTTTAAAAATAAATAAGATTTAACGGGTCATTTTTTAAGCCTTGTTGGATAAAATTGTTATTTAAAAGTTAACCAAGTCTCCTCAAGATTGGTCTTAGTAAAAAAGAGTCAATTTAAGAACTTTGAGAAAATTTAACTGCAAGCATCTATAAACGTCCATACACACAACTCAAAGTGACACACCGTTTCATATACACAAACTCACTTGCACACAACAATCAAGTACACATTCAAACACACACACACACAACTATATACACAGTCACATAAACATACACAACGATAGACACATCCATACATAAATAATCTAGATTGGCGGACTGTTTTGTGTCGAATGGTTTATTTCAACCGATAGTATCTAACTAGGTGTATAGTCGAGCAATATGGCGGACAAATAAGTAAAGATACTTCTAAATTACAATGTTTATTCTAAAAAATAGAATTAATCAAATTTAACAAAAACATGTTATTTATTGTGTCATATATCATTCTTATTCATTGTTTAAAAAATTGTTTCCAAAAATCAAAAGCTAAATATTAATTTTTTTTTTCAAATATTAGATGGTCAGTTTGTTTTTTATACCTATATCATTTTTAAAAAATTAATATCAATATTTATAATTACCATCAACCAATAACAATAAATACTAAAAACAAATAGTTTAAGCACGTAAAAGATACCAATGATTTTGATTTTTTTTTTTTGAAAAAGAAAATAATAACATATTTTATTTATCCATTTAATAGTTTGTTTTTTTTTATTATTTTGATCTTAGATTTTATATATATATATATATATATATATATATATATATATATATATATAAAATTTACATTTTTAAATACTTTATCTTTTGATTATCAAGAAGATCAAGAAGAAGAAAAATTAAATTCAAGGGTTGCTAGCTGTCAATGAGGAAAGAGTACAAGTTGGATTTGTTCAAGAAAGCATGGAACTGTTTTTTTTAACGACTAAAAATATATAACTAAAAGAGAAAACCAGTTGGGTGATGACACTTATAATACATAGGCACTACAATTAATGTAAAATACATGTGAAACTAAAGAAACTATAAATGACAGGGTGGAAACTAACAAATGGACTTTTTAACAGCTACCAAGGGACTAATATATAGTTGATCTTTCCTTTTAGAGTTAGAGTATTCACAGCTAGAAGCCAACTTGACTACTTGATTCCAAAAAACAACCGATTCATGGAGATCCATATTGAGATGTCCAAACAAGGGAGGCAGTGTATAGGGGTATTTTGGTCAAATACGCCCTATATGCGGCAAAATATTGATGTCATAAGTGATACTCCATCATCCATTGACAAGGGTATTTTGGTCCAATTTTCCATCAACTACAAGACCTTGACTCCAAACCTCAAATTGTTTCTACTTCCAATAAGCCAACTAACTGTGTATTTTATAAACTCGGCTAAAATGAAAGACGTTAAACATGCCAAAAGTAACTGAAATGTTTATTCAAATGCTTACAAGTTATTAAGTGCATTGCCCTTTTCACACATAAAACCATACCAGGTCATAGAAAACAAAACAAAAATCAAAGTACATTGCCCTTTCATGCAAAAAACCATACAGATTAATAAAAACCACAAAAAATCTCTTAACAAAAATGCTCCATATATATATATATATATATATATATATATATATATATATATATATATATAAACATAAATGGTATGTTTTAGAAAAACTAACATAAATGGCCCCTGTTTAATAAAATGCATAAATGATCTTTGTTTAAAAAATAACAGAAAATGGTCACTGTTTAAAAAAGGAACATGTATAATGGCTTGTTACATGACATAATTAAGCTTTTGAAACTATCTATAATTTGTGAATATTTTTTCTAAGAAAAAAGAAACTACCACAAGAGACCTAACATGTCATTTGTCTATAAAAGTAACTGGGCGAATACCTGCGCGTTGCACAGAATACACCATTATATTTGAAATCATTAAAAATATATGTTTTTTACATATATGAATGTCGTTATTGTTAACTCTTATATAATAAATTGGTATAAACCTTGTTTGTTTTGAATTATATGATAATATAGACATATTTTAAAATTCTATAATCTCAATTGTCTCAATGGGCTCTAGATGCGGGTTACTCATGAATTAAATTAGATATAATATATGGTTTAATGATATTTATAGTTATCGTTATGATTAATTAATTTTAAAAAGTTTATTTGCATAAGATTTTAATTTCTATCATTGTAATTATTTAAAACATCAAACATTGTTTTTCTTTTTAAAAATAACAATATAATTTTTGTATAAAATGTTACTTTTAACTATTATTGTTGTAAGTTATTTAAAATAATGTATTTGAAAACTCTTAATTATTTTAATTTAGTTTCAGGAATTTAACTTTTTTGAAACTTATTTGATGAATATTGTTAGTTTCTTTGATTGTAATTATTTAAAACAACAAACATTGTTTTTGTTTTTAAAGATAACATTATA